TTTTTTGTTTAGGTGGACACTCTAAATGGAGAGAAAAGTGTGTTATTATATATATAGATATACCTAGTTTAAAGGTGAATTCTACACGAGGTAACTGTTTTCTTTTGCTAACCATTCATTTTGTTAAAACTATGACTCAAACCTTCACACAAAATCGCAAATTGTTTCTTAGAATTATAAAAAAACTTGATCCAATCCTACAATTGAGTAATAACCCTAAAACATGTTTTTCAAAAAAGACGTAAATGTATGATCCATTAATAACTATAAAACCATTTTTTTAAAGAGATGCAACCCTAAAATGCAACCTTAAAATGCATTAATAATAATAAAAGAAATTTTTTCCGTAAAGACGTAATCCTATGGTGCATTTTAACTATAAAACGGGTTTTTTTAAAGACACAACACTATAATGTATTAATAATAATAAATCGTTTTTTTGAAAAGATGCAACTACATGAAATATAATAACTAGAAAAAAGTTTTTTTAGAAGATGCATTTTTACATAGACCAAGATTTTTGAAAAAGACAAAATCTTAAGATGCATTTATTACCATAAAAAAATTACTCAAAAAGACGCAATCCTAAAATTTATTTGATTTCGTTTTTGTTCAATGGTATTTGTAAGATTTTTCTAGGCTTTTAAAGAAAGAGTATGAAACTTTATATGAGGTTATGTGTGCTCTAATCGTTCTTTTAACAGTTATGTTCATAGTGTTTTTTCATGAATCAATATTCAAGAGCAATTGAGATGGTGATGCAATCAAAATTAACGAGATGCTTGTGAGTATAGTCATGTTATAGGCTGATTTTTTACAGTTCTTAAAGTTTATCACTACTACATCAATATACCATGGTCAATTCCTAAAACATCGAATTATGATTTTAAGACGATATTACATTGACAATCAAGGAACCCTATAGACCAAAGAAACCCTAAAACCTAGCTTACGTACTGTCTATCCTTCACTTGCCTAAAATCTAGCTTACCTATTGCTCATTTTTAACATTTTCTTCATCTCATTACTTTTACCATCCATGATCACCAAGCACTGAGAAAAACATTTAAAAAGATTATCCATCTACAAACATAAGGAGAAAAAAAATTAATCATTAATCTTTAACATATGGGAAAACTGTTGCATGCTAACACGCTCTTGGGCCCTATATGACATATGATTGTCAATGTGATATCGCCATAACCCTCAAAAGTTCTCTTGATGTTTGTAGATGGCTGCATCCAACATATCAAAAAACCTTATATCATCTAAATTAAGTTCATGTACCCTTTCATCATCTTCCACAAATCCTAATAATTTTTCCGAAACGCATCATTCACCATCTGGACCATGTATCTGTTGTCGTTTCTCTATCATATCAGTTGCATAAGGTGCAATAGAACTAATAATATATTTTGCTTTTAATGATTGCTTACCTTGATTTTTTAATGAATGTTTTGTGAGCATCTTTTTCTTGTTTTACGTTGCTTAATTAATTTTGTTTTAGAATATAAGATTCGTTGAAAATTTCACTTCTCTATCAATCTCTAAACATGGTATCTACCATCTTATTAACGTATCTACCATCTCTAAAAATAGAGTATGTTTTCTCATGGGCTAATAATGTTTTTAAACCTTTTATTGCTTCATCTTGCTTTTTTCCAAGTCCTTTCAAAACCGTAGATCTATGCTCATCATCTCTATGTTCTCACTTATGAGCAATTTCTCATCAATTTTAAATTCAATAAGAGGCACTATGTTTTGACATTTGAATTGGCTGTTAAATGCTTTTAAGTTTTTAGGGGATCCTTGTTTGTAAATGTAGTATAACCATAAATTCATTGTTCGAAGTTTTAGGATTTGACCATGAAATATCGATGTAGTAGTGGCAAACTTTAAGAATTGCCAAAAATCCAACCTATATCTTGTCTATATATTCACAAGCATCTCGTTAAATAATTTTGAGTATATCATCATACTTATTGCTCTCAAATATTTATTCATGAAAAAATACTCTGAACATAACTGTTAAAGGAACCAACAAAACACACATAACATGATACAGTCTTCACTTTTTTTGTGACATTCACTATTTTTTGTGTGTGATGATTAAAATCGTACTTTTTGTCTATCATTTGATTAGAACTTTGATTTCGTATTTTGAATATATATATTTAGAATGAATGTCATCAAAATGTGAATTGGATACACGTTTGAGATCACATGAACATGATCATCATGTTCAAGTCGAAGTCAGAAGTTACTACCATTTGCACTTTTTAACGAACATAAGTAAGTTAGTTTCTTTTATAAAAAGAAAATTTTAAGTCATTTTGATATTGAATTTTTACCATTTTGTGCATTTTTTAAAAAAATAATCGCCCTAAATGTTATACATTCTTAATCTTTCTAGTTTTGCAGAGGCCCTTAAATATAGAAGGCTCTAATAATATATACAACTATTTTTATACCCATTTAGAATGGTACCATTAATTGTAACGATGTGTTATAGTTTTTTTTATCATCTTTTGTATAATCAAATAAGTAAAATATCATGAAATAATTATATCCTTTTTATTATACAATCGTCTCTTATCACTATTTTTGTTGTTTCTAATTGTACTATCATGGTGTACTACAATTCCATATCATCCAAACAATTATATCATCTTGTGTTAATAATCAAACCGGTCATACATTGTACTCCTTTTTTTGGTACTATTCGAAAACTCTGTAACACATCACTATTTATTTATATCACTTTAATACATGGATCTTTAAAATAAATAAATCTGAAAATTCATATTAAAACACGGGTTGATC